CCCACCCCCTCTTCCCGGGACCAGGCTGGCGGCTCCCGGGAGCTTGCCCGGGACTGCAAGAGGCGGGCACCTTCCTGGGGTAGTGCACACATCGTGGACTTCTTCCACGATCTGTGCACTAGGCAAAGGAAAGTGGCCAGCTAGGGCAGGAGAGCTGCCAGCCTGGCCACCCAGGAGCAGGTGTGCATGAAAATCAAGGGGGTCCACTGAGACCCCCGACCCTGAGCCCTGAGCTTACAATGGCCGTCCTGGGTCAGACCAAAGGTCCATCTAGCCCAGTAGCCTGTCTGCCGACAGCGGCCAACCCTAGGGACCCTGGAGGGGATGGACCGAAGACAGTGACCAAGCCATTTGTCTCGTGCCATCCCTCTCCAGCCTTCCACAAACTTTGGGCAGGGACACCACTCCTACCCCCTGGCTAAGACTACTCCATGGACCCAACCTCCATGACTTGATCTCACTTCCCTTTAAACTCTGTTCTAATTGTAGCCTTCACAGCCTCCTGCAGCAAGGAGTTCCGCAGGTTAACTATTTGCTTTGTCAAGAACAACTTTCTCTTACTAGTTTCAAGCCTGCTACCCATTCCTTTCCTTTGGTGTCCTCTAGTCCTTCTTTATGGGAACTCATGAAGAACTTTTCTGAACGCACCCTCTCCACCCAACCCCTGCTTTTAGAGACCTCTATCCTGTCCCCGCTCCATCTCCTTTTTTCTAAGCTGAACAGTCCCAGTCTCTGTAGCCTCTCTTCATCTGGGACCTGTTCCCAACCCCTGATCATGTTAGTTGCCCAGCCTTTCTCTTCCCCTCTCCCACGTCCTTTTCCCAGTTTCCCCCAGTTTTGTTCAATAAAGACAGAGTCAATGTTGGAAGAAACGTTATCTTTATTTTGTACATCAGGAAGGGGGGCGAGCGAAGGGTAAGTGGAAGGAGGTGAGGGAGGAATGGGGTACGAGTCCCCGATGGGGAGGACTGGGCTGGATCTGCGGGCTTCTGGGGGTGGAAGCTCTCCTGCAGCCCCCCAATTGCCTCCTCTCCCCACATGGCAGCCTGCGGCAAGTGCAGCCGGTCTGATGGCCGAGTGTTGTGATGTGCCCAGTGTGGGCACTCCGGGTACTCCAAGCCAGGTCTGCTTTTCAAGCGGGGCACCCCTGAGAACTGTCTGTCCCTGGTGGGGATCGGGTGCCTTTAAGCGCAGCCCTCGGTTAAAATCTGTTGTTCTCCGTGGTACACCTCCGGCTGCCTTGGGTTTAAGAAACACTGGTCTACAGCCTGAAAGGACATTTATGAAAAAGCAATGGCTGTTATGCTAGTTTGCACTGTTACATCATACAACTGCCCGGGGTCCGGTGACTCAAAAGGGCCCAGTGCTCCTGTTCCTTGAGACACCAGACGTTAGACTCTCTAAGTTATGATTAATTTCTTAGAAGAATTTTTTTAATTTTTACTTGTAACTTCTATTCTTATGCAATACTCAGTTGAATCTTTGATTCTCTGTTCCTTATTACTAAACTATCAGTGTATATACAATCTGCTCAGTCTTTTGATGGCATCATCATCAGCTAAGTGGAGAGTCAATAGTCCACTGTCAAAATAAGTTAGTGTCACTCATCAAACACATGCAAATTCATCTGAAGTTGACTACAGCTACATCCTGGGTAATGTCATGTTAATGACCTATCCTATATAACAGAAAGGTGTCCCAGATTTAGATCATACTGCAGCCAATGCATATTGAGAAAAATTAACTTGTGGCTTGGACTTGCATTATGCAGATGAAATCATCTCAGAAAAGCTTGGCTGTAGGTGCCATTGACTATAATCATCTGCCATAAAGTTTGCATTACCGTTCAAGACCCTGTCAATTTTTGGAAGGACTAAGCTTGGACATCTGTAACAGATGTCATCTTCATAGACAACTTGTATGAGAGTGCACCTGGGAGGTCATTGATGTACTCATTGAACACTATTGATGGAAGAACTGAGCCTCGAGAAAGGCTGCTGATCTGACACTTCAAAGACATACAGTCGTTGTCCATGTATACTCTAAATCCCCTTTTATGGAGAAAGAGCTTTACTACTTCCACCACCCAATATGAGGCTACTTAAGAGAGACTGAAGAAAATGCCTTTGTGTCAAATTGTATCATTGGTGGTGGTCAAATCCAAGATTACAGTTTCCAACTTTAAATTTTGTTAAAAAACATTTTGGAGAAAGACAATCAAGGCTATGACCAAGTCACAGAAGCACCCTTTCCTGAACCCTGTCTGGTTGACTTGAAAAACAGCATCCAAATCTGGAGTAATTCTTTGGAGGACCAAACATTCAGATACCTTGAAACACACTGACAGGAAAGATAGGAGGCAGTAACCCAACACATTGTAGGTGTCTTTGCCTGGATTAAGAATCACAATAATCCTTTGACACCAATCACATGTTATCTTCTCACTGTTGACTCATATGTAGAAGTTTGTAACCCACTGTGACACCTTTGGCCCAAGGAGCTTGTTTCACTCCCTTGTTTCACTCGTTCTTTCTACCAAAGTGATCAATTCTTAACACACATTCTATAAAGTACCCCTTTAAAATGCCAGATAAAGAATAGCTCCATGCCAGCACAAATATTTAAATTTCCTTGGTTATAGCCCCAGCTTTCCATATATATGTGATCTTGGGAATGCACCATTAACCTCTCTGTGCCTCAGTTTTCTCACATATTAGGTATCTAATTAACAAGGATATTGTCAGGGTTAATGAATATTTATTTTTGTATGAAAATACAGACATGTCAGAGTGTTCCTTCAGATATAAAAAAAAAAGAAATAGATTAGTATCAGGTACACTTAAAGGGCTTTTTTTTTTTAGAATACACATAGTGTATTCTACAGTTTACCTGACACAGGCATTGTTAGCGCGAGCTGCCATTACACTAAAAATATAAACAAAAAAAGATGAATTCTCAGTTACAAGTAAAGTTTGAGAATATACACACCAGGTATCCTGCATTTGTTTCATTGACATAAACACTGTTAGTGTGACTTGCCTTTAGACTACCAATGTAAACCAGAAAGAAGAACACAGCTTAGAAAAAACTAGAGAAAAATTCTCTGATGGTGCCAGTAGAGTGGCAGCCATTTACTTTGACAGAATGCTAGCATTTTACTCCAGTGTAGAATTTGATCCTATATTTTAAACAGCTACCCAAAGGGAAAGCAAAAAAACTAACTAGAGCCAAGTTTATAAGCCTTTAAACTTGACTTGTTTGATAAAAAAATGTTTAATTGAAAAGACAGCTTTTAGAAGAGTGCCTGGTTCTCCTCAAGATTCAGCAACTTCAAAAGGACTGCCTGCAGAGTCAGAATGGTTTGCATTTAAACTGACATTATGAATGCTTCAAGCTCTCACATGGTTTTAAATCCTGAAGTACTCCTGATTTATTTAATGTTTTTTAGAGATAGACAACGTAGTAAGAAGAAATTTTACACCTTCTCTTCTTTATTTTAGGTTCCATCTTTCAGCCAGAGATTACTGTTCACAGTGAAAATATATGTCTTTAAAAACAAAAACCAAACTAACCAGCTTTATGAAAAAGCAGCTTTTCATTCTCCAGTGCTTTGCAACTTGTTCATCCACACTTGTGCAAAGTGAGACTAAAAACCATTACCAAATCAGAAATTAGCATTGTACACCCATTTTACATTGACCTAAATCTATAGTTTCCAAAATTTAGTCCTGCAGCTCTTTGTATTTTAAAACTTGATGACTTCCCACAACCAAATACCATTAAAAAAAGAACCTGCAGAGCCCAGACACTATATTTCAGATTTCAGGAAATGAAATTCAATTCCCTAAACCCAAACATGATGCATCCAGCATGGGGACATTCTCTCTCAGATCTTGTCTTGACAGAAAAAGAACAACTGATGGCAGAATTAAAAATTAATGGTAACTCAGGTACAAGTGATCACAACTTGATCACATTTATAATGTTCAAACAGCACAAAGTCCAGATCTGAAATACATGCACATATGCACACACATACATACACAGTATTTTGAAGGATCTCCCCCCCCCCAAAAAAAAGCTGAAAACGGTTATAAACCAAATCATCTGGAATAAGTCTTAAGAAAGTCTTAAGAGCATGACTATTAACTGGAAACAATCTCAACATGGAAGAAAGTGGACATATGGGTTAAAAAGCCAATCTGGGTTAGCGGTAAAGTAACAGAAGATATTGCTTTATAAAAATAAAAACAAATGGAAGGAGAATTTGATAGTAATGTATATAAATCAGAAGCTAGGAATCTTAGAAAATTCATAAAGAGAATAAGGGGAATAAGTCAAGAAAAAAACCTCTTCTTTCTTAATTAGATAAGGACAAAAAAATTAACAATGCCATTAGATGGAAATGGTAGAATTATCAATAACAATACAGAAAAAGCAGAATTCTTTAATAAATATTCTGTTCTGAACTTGGGGTGAACCCAGATGATAGTCTCCTAATTTGATGATAAGGCTTTTTCCATTTGAATAGGATCTCTGAAGTGTCCTGGGACACTGAGGAAAATCCATAAGATTGGAAAAAAGCTATTTTTGTGCTAGTATTTAGAAAGATAAATGTGATGGCCTAGGTAATCATATGTCTGTCAACCTGCCATTGATCCTGGAAAAGATAATGGTGCTGACAATAAGGGACTCAATCAAAGAATTAAAAGAAGGTAATACTTCTGATGCCTGTCAACATGAGTTTATGCCAAATAAATAATATATTTGTTGAATTTACAAATTTTCTTGATAAACATAATAGTGTTGATGTAATAAAATTAGACTCCTATAAGACATATATGAATTGGTACCATATAACATTTTGATTTAAAAAGCTTAGTATGATAGAAAATTATTATATGGATTAAAAATTGGCTAACTAAATGGATGTGCACGTAGTGGGGTCCCAGAGGGATTTAAACATTTTTGCCATCGATCTGGAAGGAAGCCTAAAATAATCATTTATATATTTTGCAGATGATATCAACATTGGCGTGGTGTTAATAATGAAGAGGATAGGTCACTAAGGTGGAACATTGTAGATTACTTGGTAAACTGGATGCAAGCAAAGAATGTGATTTTTAATATAGCTAAATGTAAATGTATACATCTAGGTTAAAAGAATATAGACCTTATTTATGGTGCAGGGGACTCTATCCTGGCAAGCAAAGACTCTGAAAAAACGCATTTGGTTTGTGATCAATAATCAGCAGAAACTGAGCTCTAGGATAATACTGAACCCAAAAGGGATCATGCAATTTATGGATATATAAACAAGGAATCTTAGGGAGGTGTAGAGAGGGTATTTTATCTACCTATTTGGCTCTGGTGCAATTGTTGCATCAATACTGTATCCAGTTCTAGTGTCCACAATTCATGAAATTGTAGAGGATTCGGAGAAAAGCCGAGGGAATGATTAAACCTGCCTTAGAGTGATGGACTCAAAGAGCTAAATCTATTTGGCTTAACTCAGAGGAGAGTAAGGGCAGAACTGATCATAGTCTATATGTACCTACATGGAGAACAAATATTTGATAATGGGCTTTTTCAATCTAGCAGAGACAGGTATAACATGAACAAACAGCTGGAAGTCGAAGCTAGACACATTCAAACTGCAGATAAAGTTTAAAATTTTAAACAGTGAGTTTAATTATCATTGAAACATTTTGCCTAGCGCTGTGCTGGATTTACCACCGCTGACAATTTTAAAAATCAAGATTCCATGTTTACCTAACATGTGTGGTCTCAGAATTATTTCGCAAAGTTCTATGGCTGATGTTATAGTGGAGGTCAGACTAGATGATCACAATGGAGTCTTCCATCCTTAGAAGCTATGAAAATCTGTTATTCAAAAACTCTTCCACATCACTTGATTGTGAAACAGAAGCTGAGTGTGGTCACAGCCCATCTCTTTGAATAGCATACTAAACTACACGATCACTGCCCCAGATTACATAACTTTAGCAAGTTTAGCCATGTGGAGGAATTCCTATAATTGAATTTGTGATACCTTCAGTGCCAAACGTTATCAATGCCACTTCACTTTCTTATGCTGCAAACTCATTTTTCTTTCTGGTTCTGGTTGATGCCCCATCAGTGTAGAGCACCCCCTCCCATGTCATGCAGTTAACACACCCACTGTGAATTTATAAAGGATCTTTAATATTTTCCCACCAGTCGTCTGGATTTTGTTGTTGTTATTGCTCATTACCAAGTAAAAGTTCTACAACTATTGCACCTACTTTGACAAAACTCACATAATATAGAAACTGCAACATATTGGCTGTGTCAGTGGATTTATGACTTAACTTTTTCTATTAACTGGTCCTGGATGTTTTCTGGAAGGTCATGAGTATACCAATGAATTCAGTGTTGATATAGCAATGGTTTTTGTATCGTAGCTGCTTGCTCCCCTGTCAAAATTCTACCCGTGTCGATGGCTGCTGAAAATAGAAAGGCGTGTGCTACTTTGTAATTTACATGGCTAAAAATAAAATGCTTCTAAGGATTTTTGAGAAACAGTCAACTCATGAAATATACCTGTTTTGCTACTTTAATTCTTATTTCCAAAGTAGGAGACAGATGAATGTTACAGCTCAGTTATGACTTCTGGGTGTTGCGTTTTTAAATGTCTTTGAGGCCAGGGAAACAACATACTTTCATTGCCTAAAACTTGAGCATACATGGCATATTTTGGCTGGGGACTTTCTTCAATAGTATTGAGATACAACAATCGAAAGTATTGTTGTACCCTTTACTTCCCTTTAATTTTAACTTTATTAAAATCATCTTCTTCAGCAGAACCTTTGCTACATGTAGGCTTAGCACTTGGTAAAAATTGTTTCACTAAAAAGAGAAGATGCACCCCCATGTATCCTTCAACCCCCTTCCCATCTGCTAGTGCTGCTGTTACTTGGAGCCTTTCATTTTCCTTCACTCCAGCAGGGTGTTTTCAGCCAAGAGACATCTTGCTGAATGCTTTCCCCCAACTAGAAATCTCTCTGCTGAAATTTCCCCCTCCCACTACCACCTGCAGGAGCAGAGGGCACAAAAGAGGCTCCCAATGACAGCAGCAGCATGAATAGATAAAACAAAGGTGATTTTGAAACTTAGTCTAATAGTAAATTAGAAACAAAAAACCCCACCAAAAACCAAAATAGCATTTCGATTGCATTCTCGCCTCCCCTCCACCCCGCCCAAAACAAAAAAAAATCTTGAGACTTCCCCATGGAGCTACAGTGAACAGTTTGGGTAGTACTGGCATAAAATGACCACACGAGGAGCAAGGAAGTAGAAAATCAGGCCAATAGGATCAACTGAGTCCTACTCTACACAATTTTTATATTTGTGTCACTATGCTAGTCAATGGTGTCTTCTCTCTTTTCTCCTTTACTGAATATTATGCCAGTAAAATTCCTTGTGTTGATGTAATATCTTGAGTCCTCTTCCCCTGACATTCTGGTCTAGATTAAGAAAGAGGAGCAAAAAGAAAACATCTGTTACACACAGGATGAAACAATTGCAAAGTCTATGCTGAGATTGTATTTTAGGTCAATAGAATCTTCTGTTAGACTTCTCTAAAGCTACCAAATCCCAACCCATGGAACTATCCCACTTTACTTTAGGACCAAGTACTAAGGTCTATCATTCTACTTCATGGATAGTTCCTGGCCTGAGTTATTCACACCTTCATCACCTCTCAGCTGGATAACAACACACTATATATGTAGGTGTGCCGCCCTCAGCACTTAGGAAACTAGTGTAGAATGTTATTCAGCAACAAAGGTTAGCACAAGAATATCAAATCTTTCTGTATACACTGGCTTTAATATAATATTAAAGGAAGACCATTCAAGCTTCTGGAAACATGGTTATAGTGAGCCTGCGGAACAGGATTTAAAATAGCAATGCCGGAATGGAGAAGGGATATGGTGACTCATATGTTCCTTAAGTAATACACATTCTGAAGAAAAGCTCTGTGTAGCTCAACCGCTTGTCTCTCTCAGCAACGGAAGCTGGTTCAATAAATGATATTACCTCACTCATTTTGTGTCTCTAATATTCTGGTGCTGACAAGACTCAACACCACTGCATGATACTTACTCTGACAGACGTATACAGTCCTCATGCTAACCACAATTAGACAGTGGAACTACTATGGCAGATTTTTCAAAGCCTTGGGGATATAATCTGGCCTACAGCATTGACCTCATTATACCCTACCCCTAAGGTTTGTTCACTGATGGGTCCAAAATCCGCAATGCCTAGGTCAATGCCACATCATTTCTCATTCAGTAAGTTGATTTAATCACCAAAGAGTGTAACTGAGACAGACAGTGAGAACCTTTTCTTTCCTGGTAGCACATCCTGACCTCAGAATCCATCCGGAATTTATATTTTTTCCCTTCCAACTGCCTTATATTTATTTATAGCTCTGATGCCAACACCTTCTTTCTAGTTCTACGACCATTACCAAAGTGCACAAACAAATTCTTCTGTTGAGCATAGGGTCCCAAGAGGCCTAAGCTCTAGAACCCTGTGAAGTCAGAGGATCCCGGAACCTGGGCTGTGCAGCAAAGAAATAGCCCCATCACCAGTGCTAGAGTCAGCTGTCAGAGGTGAACTGGGGAGAGGAACACACACAATGAACCTGCTCCAGTCTGAAGTACAGAAAGGGAATGAGATGAGTCCACTGTTTCTAGAATTTCTCCAGCAACCATCTCACCTCCTCCTCGCCCCCAGATATCCTATCTCTGCAAAGCAGTTGAGGGGAGACAACAGAGCAGAAGAGCTTTCCTCCATTTTAAAGAGAAAGAAATGCATGGTGTTTTACAACCTTACCCAGCAGCAGTCAGCACACACACTCTCTGTCACACACACAATGCTACACACACATGCTGTGAGACACACACACTCCCAGTCTGTCTCTCACATACACACACTCACATTCACACACACTCTTTTTCTCTAGCCCCGTGTCCCTTCCACCTGACTCCCCTTCCTTTCAGGGGCCCAGCGTTAGCCCGAGAAGACTTACCAAATTATTTCCCATCCCTATAATAGAGCATGGTTTGGGATCTGAAACTAATTTAATTACTGCACTGTCTCTACTTTCTTTTCTTTTTGAGGAATACAATGCAGAACTATACTAGACAGATCGCCAGGCAATATTGTAAACTCATCTTCCATCTGGCTTTTATGAAAGTTAAAGATCCAGTGACAATTTTCAAAAATAGCATGGTGTCAATGAAAATTTTACTTGTGGTCAAGACAAGTTCCAGTATATTGTCCAGAACATAGTGGGTGAACTCTTTCCGTAGCCCATTATTACACTCCCCATAGCTCTTTTTATAGAAAACATTATATCACTGAATAGAAAATACAAGATTTAATAGCTGAGTTTAGTTCTATCCTATTTTGAATGGCGCTGTTATGGCTTGTTAAGGACAAACAGGCATATGGCAACGCCAAGAAGTGAGAAATACATTTCTGCTTTCAAATCTCTTCTCACCTCCTGATCAAGAAGCTGAGGTCAAGAATCAACAGCACAACATTCCTGAATGCACAAATATTTAAACATGCACTGTACTTAAAGAAACAAAACACAACATAACCCCTACAGTTAAATAATTTTGACATACACATGTAGAAGGGGAAAAAAAGTAATATGGGTTAAAGGGCCATATTTTTAAAAAGTAAACACCTTTGCACAGTAGTGTTAAGTTCTTTCTAAAAATGGAAAGTGAGATTTAAATGAGGTAGCCAGGGTTTCTAAAATACAGAGCATGAAAACTGAACAGGGAAATTGTCAATCAAACTTCTAAACAAAAAATCTTCTTTTATTGGAAAATTAATGAAAAAGTAATTTCCTCCTCCAGATGCTCTGTTTCTCGAGTTACCACTCAGCAGTCTAACCACACAGAAAACTCCAAGCAGACTGGTTTGTGAGCTGAGTCAGGAATGGCTATGGTTTACTAGTATAGCAAGAAGATCTTTCTAACCTGGAATCTCAGTCCTTAATTCTCTTCTGCAGAAGAAAAGAGGTAACACAGTTTGAAAGATCAGTAAACAAGTGGCCAGGCATCACTAATTACTTGTCTTAAGTATCATATAAAAACATCTCAGTTGCATTTATAAAAGCTAAAGACACAAAGTTTTACATAAGCTAACCATAACCAGTTCTAAAGACAACTGCTCTAGCTATGAGAATTTCCATAAT